GAGGATTTTAGTTTCTTCACTCTGTTGTTAGAAACGTTACTTTTGCGTTTCCTTCTGTTGTATCGTTCAATGCTATCTCCTAACAACTCGCAGATTTCAGACAGACTCATCTCCATTGTGATAATAATATTTATAACTATATCAAGATGTTTCAACTAATAAAATCCGTCTGATGATACTTTGATGTTTGTATTTGTTTTTATATCAAGCATCATGGCGGGGACTTACATTAACTTAATGAGCTAGTTAGATGGTATGATTTGATGATCAACAAATAAACGATAATAATTAATCAACTTTCATGATTAGTTAACGACTTGTCTTCATCAAATATCACAAACTACTTGTACTTCTTGTTCATACATTTTTGTTGTTTATTTTTCATCCTCTCCTTTTGTTTGTAATATAATCAACCTGAAACCTTTTATTTTAATCAAATCAATATTTCAAAATTTAATTTAACAAACAAGGATTCAAAGTGATTAAATAAAAATAAATAAATAAATTCTTTACAGTACTTAATTTTAAATAATGGAATACAGAAATTCAGTGATATTTTAGGTAAAGCAAAGTATCATTTTAAAAATTAATTTCTCCTCATAGTACTCAGTATGCCGATACTTGTGAATACTGTGTAGACCACGACAATTGGAAAAAATGAAGAAATTTAATTATGATGTTGAAGGTAAATAAGTCTTTTAGTTTAATGTGTGTACTAGTGTTACTGCGCGAAAAGATACCTTTTTATTGTATTCTTATACATATTATTACTAAACAACTTGAATATGTCACACTTGATAAACCATTTTTAAATCCGCTTCCGATTTGAAACATTAACTTATTATTTAGTTATCATTAACGAGGTCATTCAGGTGTTGTAATATGTTTGATCAATCACGTTTTTATCTAACCACTACATTAATTAACAATTGCTTGTGTTGATCTTCAATATAATAACATTAGGAGAGATTGAAGTGACCGAGACCAAAGACAAACAATATGTTTGGGATGTATGAAGTGATTGTGAAGTAGAACATGATGAATTGACAAACGAAATTATGAAGAATAAGAGAAGAACATTCAAAAAAGTTTTCAGTAGTTGTAGCAAATATGTGTAAAATAAATGAAATATTTTTCTATAATTTCTCGTATTCGTATTTCTTATTGGCTTTGTATTTAAATTAACGATTGGTGGTATGCCATACAAGACAACAAGGAAGGCAGCCACTACATTTGATTCAAATAAAGTTTTGTTGAGGAATTTATTTAGTTACTTTTAAATAAATCGGTTTACTGTCTGAGGATGCATTGTAAACTTTAGTTACATATATTTTCTCAAAATAGATTCGTTCATTCATTTGATAGAAGACTAGAAGACACAGACACAGACGGTATCCTCTATTGTTTATAATTTTTAAATATATAAGCAATGTTAAGTAACTGGAATAACAAACACTTTAAAAATTCTCTTAGAGAATCCAAAATCCTATAGTTCGAACAGAGGCTTGTCACATTAAAATAAATTTAATAACCACGGCTCTACTCCACAGTAAGATACTGAAAACATACTGAAAACATGCTTTATAATACGTTCCAACTATAAACCATCAAGATTTAGATATCTATGGGGAGGTGATTAATGCGGGGGTCAATTCATAAACACATTCAAAACAACATAACAAAAAACACTTCTGACTTTATACTATTCTTCTGTTTACCAGAATGAATGAATCTGTCGAAGAAATGTTATATATTCTAAATCCTCAGGCCGTAATAAATGACCAAAATAAATTTGCCTTAATCGATCTGGGACTTAGGCCTTGAATTTATATATTTTCTGTTCAGCAAATTTCAGGTATAAATGTAGCGCGCTCTGATCGCCTACAGAGTAATAAAGTTCATATAATTTTTGACAATTTAGAGGATTTCAGCATAGAAAAGGCTCAGGTCAGGTCAAAGGAGATTGGTGAAGGAAATTTAAAGAATTATGAATTCATTGAAGATAGTTTTGGTAGATTCTTTTTCTTTTCAGCGTGTCTTCATTAGCTGAGGGACGTGATCGTGGCGGAATGCTCCTACAATCACAGCTCTGCAGGCCACTAAATTCTGAGTCACCTGAATATAGGGATGCATCTTCATCCCTGTAAACTCCTCAACTGCATCAGCCCATGACATGTTCATATGTCTATTCATATCTATTCCTCTTCTAAATTTTTACAATTCCTTTGTAAATATTGTAAATTAAAATGGTCTACGTTTCTACGGTCAAATCGATATATACGAATAACAATTTGCAACCATTAATAACATTCAATAAAAAAATGGAGAAAAAACATACCGAATTCATAAAAAGAATTGTTTTCCATACTTCCATATTTGTCATATTGAATAATGGTTTCGAGTTAGGTATATTATTTTCTCAATAATGATTTATTAGTAATTTATGACAGAAATATTTACTTATTAATAAATATAGATAATCTCTTATATATCAACACGGCCAAACAAGTCAGCTTTGTCAGGTTTTACAGTCGGGGATGTGATAAAACGTTTAAAAAGTTTTGTATTATTATGTTTTATGGTATTTTATGATACTGAAATGTTGATATAGAACTAATTTTCAATCGACATAGAAGCTTTGCAATTTTCCATTTTGAAAATACTTAAAAAATATTTCTTGATAGAACGGATTTCACTAACAATTTTTAATGGTACCATCCATATTAGATTAGAGACAAGCTAGGCACTTGTAGTTTTGTCTCCCGTTGGCATGATTCAAGTATATAAAATAAATCAACTCATCCTAAAACACCCATAGTAATATATTCAATCAGGTCAACAAAAACGTTTCTCCAGGCTAAAAACCGCTAGATTAATTCGCGATTGTTTAACTTGAATACTGAAGACTGAATAGAATTGTCAAAAAAACTCAGTTTAAGAAAATAATTACTGACCTGACTTGTGAAAAATTACAAAAAATGAATAAATATATAAAAAGCAATATAAACGATACCTTGTATCTAGACTGTGATGACTGATGGTGACTACATTACACTACAGATATATTTACTTCGTTACAATGCATCTGATAATCTAGATGTTTCTTAGAATAGGGCTACATACAAAAAAGAAATGATTAATATTATTTCAATATTTACTTTATTTAAGACAAACATATATTGTTATTTACTACAACTACTGAACAATTCTTTGAATGTTCTTCACTCTTCTCTTATTCTTTGTATTTTCCCCAATCGACTCATCTTGCTCTACTTCACGAGCACTTCATAGATCCCAGACTCATTGTTCGTCTTTGTTCTCGGTCTCTTCAATCTTCCTCAATGTCAAAGGTCAACTTCTTCGGTTGCATGTTAAGTGTTCTCCGCACCCAGCGTCTGTCCGGACTCCCTCGTAACGTATGAAGGCAGGTAACACTAAGTGATGATGTCGGAGACTCAACGTCACTCCAGTTCACAGCTCGAGCAGCTTCCTGTGGCTTACTTTTAATGTCTATTGGTGTGGACGAGGACAGAGGGGTAGTGAATGTCGAGGATTTCAGTTTCTTCACTCTGTTGTTAGAAACGTTACTTTTGCGTTTCCTTCTGTTGTATCGTTCAATGCTGTCTCCTAACAACTCGCAGATTTCAGATAGACTCATCTCCATTGTGATAATAATATTTATAACTATATCAAGATGTGTCAACTAATAAAATCCGTCTGATGAGACTTTGATGTTTGTATTAGTTTTTATATCAAGCTTCATGGCGGGGACTTACATTAACTTAATGAGGTAGTTAGATGGTATTATTTTGATGATCAACAAATAAACGATAATTAATCAACTTTCATGATTAGTTAACGACTTGTCATGATAAAATAATACTGACTTTCATTTAAATTAATTCAAATATTGCAAAAGAATACTTTTGAACGCGGGGCTCATAGCGATTAACTGAAAAGCAAAAAAAATCTATTTAATAGGTATATATTGTTTTTATTAAATATTATATGAAATATCGAAGCATTAAACATTATAGGTTCTAACTAAATTAAATGCAAATCATTATCTTCACAGGTAGTATTTTTTATGTTTGTTACCGCAAAATACTGATAAAATAGTATTAAAAAACATAAGATACATTGCCATTTAAGACATTTGTTTTTCTGTTTGATCTGGCCCACGAAAGAATCTATCACAGATGAAAGAAATTTTATACATTCCGAATTATAAGAAAGACTATAAAGCAATCAATGAATAAAAGAATGGATGAATTATTAAATGAAAAGGAATTATGGCTATCAAACATAATGCCAGAAAGAGTTACACAAGATAGATTAAAGTTTTTTAGTCGATGGTTTTTGATTTCAATATGCAAGCCGCCCGCTTGTCTCCAGATACTAAAAATCATTGATATTTTAGATAAAGAAAAATAAGATTTTAACAATAAATTTTTGCTTATTATGGATACTAGTACATTGATACTACATAGTAAATACTCTTAAACCACGACTAATTGGGTATAAATCAAAAATATGATTATCACAGTTCCATGTGTGTACTGTTGTTACAGTTTGTACAATATTAATGTAAAATACGACATAAGGAACACTTTATTGACATAGGTATCTTTTTGTTATAAATACCTCACAGAGTAATGAGAGGAATCTTATATTATTACTTAACTATTTGAAAATTTAACCCTCGACAATCAATGTTTAAATCCGCTTCTGATTTGAGACATTGACATATTATTTAATTATGATTGACGAGGTCATTGAGGTGTTGTAATTATTTGACAAATCACATCTTTATCTAATCACGACATTCATTAACAATTGCCTGTGTTGATCTTCAAAATAATACCATCTAACTACCTCATTAAGTTAATGTAAGTCCCGCCATGAAGCTTGATATAAAAACTAATACAAACATCAAAGTATCATCAGACGGATTTTATTAGTTGACACATGTTGATATAGTTATAAATATTATTATCACGATGGAGATGAGTCTATCTGAAATCTGCGAGTTGTTAGGAGATAGCATTGAACGATACAACAGAAGGAAACGCAAAAGTAACGTTTCTAACAACAGAGTGAAGAAACTGAAATCCGCGACATTCACTACCCCTCTGTCCTCGTCCACACCAATAGACATTAAAAGTAAGCCACAGGAAGCTGCTCGTGCTGTGAACTGGAGTGATGTTGAGTCTCCGACATCATCACTTAGTGTTACCTGCCTTCATACGTTACGAGGGAGTCCGGACAGACGCTGGGTGCGGAGAACACTTAACATGCAACCGAAGAAGTTGACCTTTGACATTGAGGAAGATTGAAGTGACCGAGAACAAAGACGAACAATGAGTCTGGGATCTGTGAAGTGCTCGTGAAGTAGAGCAAGATGAGTTGATTGAGAGGAATACAGAGAATAAGAGAAGAGTGAAGAACATTCAAAAAATGTTCAGTAGTTGTAGTAAATTATAAAATATGTATTAAATGAAGTTAATATTGAAAGTATTATTTATTTATCATTTCTTAATCGACCAAAGGTTTTAATCTCAGAAATCATCTGGAATACCAGGTTCAAACATAGTTCATACATCACTCACATGTAACTGAATTTAGTTGTGATAAATTTCTGTTTCTTTCTACATTCGAAAATTTTTTATATGTAGCCCTAAGGGCTAATTTTCAATTTTTACATTACTTTTCCTCAGAGTTCCTATTCAATTAATAAATGTTCACATAATATAACTAGTTGGGTGTCTTTTAAGAGTGTTATTTAAGTGAATCTTTCAAACCTCTTCTAGATGATAAATCAGTTGAGAAGAAAGTTTCTATTTTTATGCTAAAGGGGTCAACCGAGCAGATATTCTACCTGATGCAGGTAGTGCTATCGCCCATGGACATCCACAACATCACTTGTGTTGACATAACAGAACTTAACATGAGAGATGATGCGGATGGGTTACCACCCTTAATTAAGGAAGAGGGGAGGAATAAGTGGGAAAGAGAGGGAAAAGGGAAGGGGTGGGAGAGGATGGGAAAAGGGAAAGGGCCACCGGCTCTCTCACTCATCGGACGAATCGCAGCAACAAGAGAGATGATACTTCCCCGCTCGAGCCAGCCCTTGTTCGAGCTGTAGTAACTTGATCACAGCTAGGCTCTACCACCTATAAAACCACAATTTACAAAACTATTGACTCTGAATGTGTGACTTTCAAAAAGGTGAATTCATAAAGTTTTAGGTCCCAATCAATTTAGTAACTTTATAATAATTCAGTTTTAAATTTAGGATACATGCTTATTTTTGAGAAAATCAATTTTATAATATTATATAATAAGGGAATCTGGAAGTAAATAATGTTTATAAGTTGACCATGTTAATGAGAAACAGTTGTAATCCGCATGTCATCCTGCACTATATCAAGCCAACGTTTTTCCTCTACTCCTAGTGCCAGGTAGGGTCATTTAAGGCATTTGTGACCTACGTAGTTTTCCGGTCGACGTAAGACATAAATCTAGTGAGGCAACTATGATAAATATATATAATTATCTTAAGGAATCTCGATTTGATAATACCATTTTTTGATATGAAAATGTAATGGCTTTATCACAGAAAACCACAATTTAAAACGATATAAATATAAATATACATTTTCCTTTTTATTTATTAGTTAAATCCGTTCATATTGTCAATCAAATAGCAACAATTTATAGACATCTTAATTCGTGTTTAACTTCCTACTATGGCAGAGAATAAAATTCCTATATTTATACAGGGTGACTGGTGAATTACTATCGATACTTGAGGACGTGATATTTGACGATCATATATGACAAAATAAAAGTTAATATAACATAAATATTAATAAACTTCTAAGTAAAGTTAACCAAAAGTTATGTAATTAATTACGCATCGTGTGAACACCCTACAGATTAGGTATACACACACACTCACACATACGCGTGCGGCGGCGTGGTCTTGTATCACCACGCCGCCGCAGGCGCCACACTTGGAACACTTGGAACGTTTCTACACTTTATTTATTTATCCGGAAATTTGGTCAAAAATTAATTACCTATTTTTTTTACATAATTCGAATGAGAATCATGTACCGAGTATTCTCCTTAAATATTGATAGTAATTCACCAGTCACCCTGTATAGTGTTTATTATAAAGTTTACATTTAACTTTACAATAATTTATACGAATTAATTCTGATTATTCTGATATTAAAAATCAATATCAATTACAGGAAGCAAAAGTGTGATAACGTAAGTGCATTGCATAGAAATATTTTGCAACTATTGATTAAACAACTATTGATTTTGTCTGTTTAAAATATAAAAAAACATTTTAACTATAAATAGTAGATATTAGACACATACTATTAATTCTATATTTCACATTTTCTCTCAATACACAATACGGATTTTTTTTATGGATTATACAACAGATAAATTTATATGATATTTTTATTTTGCCTTATTGCTGCTCGGTTTATATCTAATTCTAATAAGGTAACTTTAAATTAATTTTCTTTTTACTTAAATCTAAAAAATGATACTGAAATATATATGTATAATACTCTTTATTGCACTGTAAATTTACATGGTTATTTTACATATAAAATCATGGTTCACAATAATAATATGTAATTCATAAACCTTTAATTAGTCAAAAATATTCACGTGTCCTTTATCTATGATCGATAACAAAATATAAAAACAATTTTTAACCTCATTCCATTATTTGAGTACGTCTCGGTTTTTTAGAGCCATTACACTACATTAAGATCAACAAATCTCTTAATGTTAATGGGCAAATAATTAATTGTTTAATTACATTCATCATTCATTGTTTAACTACATTTAACTAGGCATTAAACCATTTGTATACATAGGCGGCGACGGAGAGTGACCGCTAGTGTTTTAGTGGGTAGCATGGGCAGTACTTTAAATGGCCAAATACTTAACAATTGGTTTTATAATTTATAATTAGAGCCTTAGCATGTTTTACACAATGTCAAGTGTTTTATTTCTTTATGAGGGGAACTAGCGCCTAATATTATAACCTACCCTCTCCTAAATGTTACTTTTGAATATTATAAACACGATACAAGTATTAGACTGGGGATTCGGTTACAAGTTGTGGAGCAGTTAACATCTAAGTAGAAGTGCTGCCCAAATTATTTCTAACAATATAAGTATATATGTACCTAATTATTAACACGTGCCTATTTTCAAATCTGGGTTTTTACTAAACCCATAATAAACAAACATCTATCGTATTAAAATGATAATCTTCTTTGAATACCTTATCTGTATTAATTAATCAGTTTCTAAACTATATATATACATATATAAATAAATGTAGAACTTTATTTTGTTATACTTGTAATAGATCGTCATTATGGTATTCAAGGCGGGAATTTTATTAACAACGCTCCTAGTTGGAAGCTTGGGTAAGAAAAACATTTGTACCATAAACATACTTTAATTTTAAATACATGATGTTATATTTTTTGTGTCTCATATTTTATGACCCACTATCCATTTTACTAGCTTCCAGAAATATTTCTAAAACTTTAAAGTGAGATAAAATAGGGAATAATTCATACGTGTTTTTTTAAGTCTTTATTATTGAAGTCTAATAGAGAACTAAAAGTCCACAATCTTTTATCAAAATCGCATGTAATGTTTTAGAAAACAAGTTGTAACAGACTCCAAACTTATAATTTTTTTGAACAGACTTATGTTTTTGTTAAAAAATAATTATATTTTACATATAGGACCTTTTATATAAAATATCTTGTACTTTTAGAAATGAAGTAATGTCTTATCTTCTTCTACCTGGCAATTTCCAAGCTTTAGCCAGGGTCTGCCTTAAATGTTGTGAATAGTTTTGGCTAATAATTAATTTTACGACCGGCCGCCTGCCTGACACCAACTCTTTTTGGGAATGCATTAATCAGTGACGTCTTAATACTCTTAGAAAGTACATATGACTCGGAAAAATCACATTGGTACTTACCCGGGCCAGGATCGAATCCGCGTCCTCGTGCATGAGAGGCGGGCTTTTTAACCACTAGGCCACCACTGACTTAAAGCAAAAACTTAATATACAAAGTATTAATCTATGAAGTTATTTAATGTTTTTTCGTAACAAATTGTAACACAGTAATAAATTGAACTAATTCTATTTTTGATTATAAAGTGATAAAGAACACGATAGAAACAAAAAAAATATGGTTAAATGTTGTGATAAATATTATTGGTAGCCATTAAAACATTATTGCTAGAAAAAGACTACTTTGCTAGGATTCTTAATTCCTGCTTATTTTATTTTTTGTTTACAATTCATATCTCTTGGAGACTGAGGAGATTAAGATGACAAAACATGGTATAACCATTGTTAAAATATTTTTAGGCTATTAATTTTCTACCCAGAATCGTCAAAATCAGTTCAAAACTTAAAAACAAAATGGTTGGAATTCAAAGATAGAGCGGGCTTCCTTTGTGGTTGGATTCGACTAAAAGAAATATCTGATCTCAGTCCCAGTCCCGTCGTTACCACACTCACACACATATCCTATTAATGACACAAGGTCATTTTGTCCGAGATGGAGAAAACCTACAACTTAAAGCTCTACTAAAATAACCTAATTTTATTTCCAGCTTTGCCATTAAATGAGGAACAAGACAATTCTATTTTCTTTGATAACACCGTCGTGAATCCTTTAATAGTTGGTGGAGATGTTTCCCCAATCGTACCACACATGGTTGCTTTGAGCAGTGGTACCATGGTAAGGAGTTTCTTTTGTGGAGGCTCTTTAATTAGTGAAAGGCATGTACTAACTGCTGCTCACTGTATCAGGAGCAGCGTGCTTAGTGGATCTATATTAAGGTATTAGATTTAAAGAAATTCTTAAAAATGATGTCCTCACATAGTAATTATAATGATTCCTTTAACTTTTTTCATTCAATTTCAGGTCTGTTCGTGGAAAGATTGGCAGCGCCTCCCAAATGTTTGGTGGATTTGATTATACCTTTTCGCAAGGTGCCATCCATCCAGACTTCGACATTAAATTAATCAAAAACGATATTGGGTATTTGATTACCTCTGTTCCTGTTGTTTTGGGTGAAAATGTGAAGCCAGTTGCATTAAGTTTTGATTTCGTCGGAGCAGATGTTCCTACCATAGTCAACGGCTGGGGAAGGACCGTAGTAAGTTGGAATTATAAACTTTCAGCTTCAATTATTATATATTGAAAAATATTCATAGTCAAAGAATCTATAAATTAAACGAAATATTGCGGCAAAGGTCTTAAAA